AAAGCTACAGGGGTGATCTTAAGAGAGCTTCAAATCTTTAAAGAAACACCATCAGTAGATCACAAAGCCCTCAGAAGACTGCAGAAACCTCTTAAATGAAGTTACTCTTGGTTACTAAGGGGAGCTTTCCAGAGGGATTACTGACACATTATTTATATGCACCTTGAGGGCAGACATCTCTATTACTCTGAGAGTGACCCATTTAAAAAATGTGGTACAAAATTTGTCCCTGATTTTAGCTGAAATAATAAATGACACCAGCTCATCTGTGGAAAGCATTCTGGTCAGCCTCAGTCACTGATCAGTATTGTTATGGGTGACAGAACTGCCCAAAACTTCACCCTTGCAGGCCAGGGTAGAATATATGCAATTGCTAATGCATTCTTTTATACTTGGATTGACTATCTCAGGCTAAATGGAAAGGTCAATACCGAAACTTAGAGAGAAAGCCATTATTCTTAAGGTAGACACTGAGGGCCAAGAAATTTGTTCAGCTGGCTGGGTCCAGGACTTAGCCAGCACAACTGAAGTCAATACTGTGGCTTTATCTTGTTGTTTAGAGTCTTATTGATATTAGCCATAATTAAATACTATATGAAACAAGTTAAATGAATCTAGTCCCCGTATCTGTTAATCAGATTTATCAGAGTGGTAAACAGTGTGGTATACTCATGGAAAAAAATCCGTCATTATGGCCCTTGTTTTTGGCTTTTGGACTATTTCCAGTCTCACAATGGTGTGCCCTCTATCACAAAATCTGTTCAATAAAAGGCTGGTAGTAAATGTTTTTGCACATCTTAACATTTGTTTATTTGGCCCACATATTTTATGTTCCTTCTTTCCTTTCTTGTTTTTTAACGTTATTAATCAAAATTTCACATTAACACACTCTTTCACTACTCTTTTTACTATTTTTTAACTGGTTAACTCAAAGTTATCACACACATCCTTGACTTTTTACAGCACAATAAAAAATGATCACATCTACCACCTTCCCATTAATGCTAGAATCTTAAAACAATTAATTTCATTTGCAACTTCTTTTGGAGAGCCAATTTCTCAATATGTAGTAAAACTAATGTACACAAAAGCAATTTCCCTTCAATGTCCAAACACAGATCCATTTTACAAATGTGCACAAGTAAGTATGCGCAAATCTATTTGTTATTGCATTGTCTGGAAAGGTGAGAAAGTTAGAGGCAACTTCATGTCCACTAATATTATAATGGATAAATACATAGTAGTATATTCATAAAATAGAGTCCCACATCACTGTTAAAATGCACTAAATACAGAGCAACATGAATCTGATGAGCATAATTTCACACGAAAGTAATGCAAGAGTACACAAAATGATGAATTTTAGAAATTGTATGTACATAGGCACATAAGAAGTAAAAAATATATAAAGAACGCACTCTAGCTTTAGAAGAGTTGTTACCCATGGGGAGAGAGGAAGAGAAACGAGATAAGAGACAGGTGCAGATGTCTTAAAGGTTTTACATATTAAAAACTATTGATGCAATGATGGCAAAGCGCTCATATTTTTAAAATTTCAGTGAACAATATTTAGGAATTTAACATTTGAGCAAATACCACCACTCCTACTTTCTGCCTATTTGAACCATTTCCATAAATACATATGAGAAAACTTTACATAAAAATTTCACTATGAGTACAACGAGCAAAAACACCTACTTGAAAGTGTAGTTGCATCACTGGGTGTTAACATAAAATGACTTTCTATATATACGGGCAAAAGTGCAGATGTTCCAATAATAACTAAAGATTCTGAAGCTCTGGCCAGAGATAGGCACACAAACATAGGACTCTTGATGAGAATCTGAAATAGAAATAAGTTACATATGAATTATCTTATTTTGTTAAGAGGAATAGATATACCTACTTGTATAACTGGTACACCCACATAATCACAAACACTTTAATATTAGCTGACTTACAAAATTTTGCCATGCTGATGAATGTGTAGTATTACAATGCTTTATTTTATATTTTTCCAATTTCAAATATAACTGAGCATTTCATCATGTAATTGTTAGCTATTTAGCATTCTTTCATGTGTATGAACTGCCTATTCATACTTCTATTAGGATTCCTGAAATTCTTGTGTAGATTTTCCAAGAATTCCTTGTTTATTCTAAAGCTTAATCTCTTATGGTATTTATGGAATTTAGATATTTGTCACTCATCTTTTAACAGTCTGTACCTTTCTTCACTGAAATCTTTGACTTAATATAATGTAATCCATAAATTATAAGTTCATATTTGACACTATTGCAATCTTGCCTAATCTTTTCCAACCTCTATGTCACAAGGCATTTCTTTCAGTTTAAACATTAACTGTGTCATTTTTTCAAATCACATTTTATTAACCTAGAAATCACCTTTCTGCATAATATCAAGCAGGGACCCAGCTTCATTTTATCATATAGAACACCAAGTTTGCCATCACATCTAGTGAACAATTATCCTTGCAGTGCCTCTTCTATCACATAGCAAGTTTACATATCTATATATCTATATATAAATTTATTGCTGAGTTCTCTATTCTATTCCACTGGCCTATTTATCTGTGCCGAGGAAATACCTTGTTTTTACTACTATGGCTTTGTAGCCTGTCTTAATGTGTACTAGGATCAACACTCTTTGTTTAACCTATTCATGCCCTCATTCTGTTATAAGAATTATTTAAGAATCAACTTGTCATTTACTAAAAAAATAAAATTCTTGCCCTAGTATTGATTACATTTCATTGAATTCATAGATTGAGAGAGAAATCACATATATGAAAGCTGTCATTTTATCCATTAATAGAGTATATCTTTCAAACTATCCTAGTCTCCTTTAATACAGTTACAGAGTTTTAAATTTTTTCATGACGTTCTTGAGTAGCTTTGTTAAAGGAGTTCCTCAATTATTTATAGTTATTATTTATAGCAAACTATCGTTTGCATGATAGGGGTCCCAGAAGAGAAGAGAGGGAGAAAGGGGTCGAAAATGTATTTGATGAAATTATGGGTGAAAAATGGAAATGCAAGATGGAAATGGCAAGAAAGTGGGAGTAGCAATGCTCATATCAGACAAAACAGACTTTAAAACAAAGGCCATAAAGAAAGAAAAAGAAGGACACTATATAATGATCAAAGGAGCAATATGAGATGTGGATATTACACTCATTAACATACATGCACCCAATATAGGAGCACCTAAATATAAAAAACAAATACTAACAGACAAAAAGGGAAAAACTGATGGGAATACAATAATAGTAGGAGACTTCAACACCCCTCTAACATCAATGGACAGGTTTTCCAGACAGAAAATCAGTAAGGCAACACAGATACTAAATGACACAACAGAACAGCTGGACTTGGTTGATATTTTTAGGACATCACATCCCCCTAAAACAGAATATACATTCTTTTCAAGTGCTTGTGGAACATTCTCTAGGACAGACCACATACTTGGGCACAAAAGAAGCCTCAACAAATTTAAAAGGATAGAAATTATTTCAAGCATCTTTTCTGATCACTTTGTCATGAAACTAGCAATAAACCACAGAAAAACAAATGAGAAAGAAATGACTTGGTGACTAAACAACATGGATGGTACTAAAAGGCAGTGGGTCAATGATGAACTCATAGAAGAAATTATAAAATACTCTGAGACAAACAACAATGAAAACACAACCACGCAAAATCTATAGGATGCAGCAAAAGCAGTCCTAAGAGGGAAGTTCATAGCAATACAGGCCTTCCTCAAAAAACAAGAATAATCTCAAATAAACAACCTAACCTACTACCTAAAAGAATTAGAAAAAGAAGAACAAACAAAACCAAAAGTCAGCAGAAGGAAAGAAATAATAAAGATCAGGGGCAGGGGAAATAAATAAAATAGAGATTAAAAAAAGTAGAAAAATCAAACAGCTGGTTTTCTGGAAGAGTAATAAACAAAACTGACAAACCTCTAGCCATGCTCACCAAGAAGAAAAGAGAGAGGAAACAAATAAACAGAATAAGAAATAAAAAGGGAGATATAATCAATACCACAGAAATATAAAATATCTTAAGAGAATACTATGAACAACTAACTATATGGCAATAAATTGGACAACCCAGAAGAAATGGACAAATTTCTACAAACATACATTCCATCAAAACTGAATCGAGAAGAAATAAATCATTTGAACAGATCACTAGAAGTGAAATAGAATCAGCAATAAAAAAAAAATCCCTGCAAACAAAAGTCCAGGACCTGATGGCTTCACTGACAATTCTATCATACAATGAAGAACTCATACCGATTCTCCCCCAACTCTCCCGAAAGATTGAAGAGGAGGGAATACTCCCAAACTCATTCTATGAAGCCATCATCACTCTGATACTAAAGCCAGATAAAGACACTACCAGAAAAGAAAGCTATATAGGTCATTATTGTTGAGAATATAGATGCAAAGATCTTCAACAAACTATTAGCAAACAGAATCCAAAAACATAATAAAAAGATTATACATCATGATCAAGTTAGGTTCATCCCAGGGACACAAGGATGGTTCAACATATGCAAATTAATCAACATGATATGCCACATCAACAAGAAGGAAGTTAACATTATTGTACCAATTTCTTGGCTGTAGAAAGGGAGGCTCAGAAAGGCTGAAATACCGTATTTCATTGTATCTAAAATGCCATCAATTTTAAGAGATGCCATTATTTTATGTACTTCAAGGGAAAAAAAAAATCACTGCCACTCACATTATGGTACAATGCCTAAAGGAAAGTCCTATGCTATGCAGATATTAGTCTCACCAGCTTTTTAAATATATCAGTTAAGAAGGAGTTACCAATTTTTCCTGCTCAGCTGTACAATTTGGTACGTTGTGCCAAAGACAGTGACAGTAGGCAATCCTTTTGCAGATATCTCAAAAACAACGAACAATACAGCTGTCTCTAATTGTGGAATTCTATACTTAAGTCCCATAAAACAGTTGGATGTTATTTTGCAAGAAAATGTGAACTAGTGATCATTCTTCCAACAGCAAGTACTTGCTTTACTGGAATCAAAATTATATCCTGTTGCTGTTTCTGTCTTTGTACATATACAGTAACTTTACAATCCAATGTTTAAATATTGCATTATCTCTTTGAATAGTTAAACAGTTTCTCTCAATATGGACAGCACCACTGAAGTAATGATAATAAGAACAGCCAATGACCAACTTTGCTATACTCAAGCAATATCTAACTATGTCACAATTATGTTCTGACTTACAATTATTTCAACACTCTGTCAATTTAAAATCCAATCCAATTTCAAAGATGTTAAAACGTGAAGGGGAAAATGTGCAGCTTAGAATCAAAGAAATACCGACATTTGCACAAGGTCTCAACAGTAGTAAATGCTGTCTCCACTGGGTAGCCCTAGCAGTTAGGCTTGCTAACAGATTAGAACCTATGGATAAGGAAAGACCTGATTCACCATTAGCCTGTTAACCCTTGGGTATACCATGGAGCACAAAGAGAAGGTTATAGCTGGCTCTCTCTAAGACTATTTACCAAGAATAGGATGCTACCGATCAGTCTCTAGTATGCAACCTTTTGGGCTTAGGTGAAAGTAATAGATCCTAATGAGGGAAATCTCTCTGCCTAGGAGATCTACCATGAGGGAAGCATAAACTCCCATTTAGTTCTACGTTGTACTCATTCCCAGAAAGTCACAGCCTCTCCAGCCCCTACCTGATGACGGATTATGACCATTACCCACTGTAAAACTCCACTCTTTCTTACATGAATTCCTTTGTAATCTTCATTGCTTAACTGACTCGTAAGTAAACACCAACCTAGCAGAGAACACTGGCTGACCTTTTACTCTCAGGGAAGACAAGCGCTACATTAATTTCACCAACAGGGCTTAACAGAAACCTATCTTTGGCAGGCAACTTCATTTTGACTATTGTTTTGCTCTTCACTGCTTTGTGGCAATGTGTTAGGAATATCACAAGGTGATTTATGGTTTTCATTATCTTCTGCAAGACAGTAAATGTGAAGCCAATGACATACGCAGAATCTGCTCTGTAATGGTGCTTTCAGAATTAGGGTAAGTAGAAAGACCTCTAATAAAGTAGATCAGTAATTTTCAAAGTGTAGTCCTAATTTCCAGAGTTTTGAAATGACTGTTGACAATTTTGTCAGCTTCAACTACTGCTTTTTGGAGCTAAAGATATTCTAAACTCCTCACCCTGACATTCTAGAAGTCTCTTCTACTAAACTTTTAAAAGGATTAAAATATCTTCGAGTTACCCATCCAGACAAGTGTTAGTCAGAAATCTAAGATTATTAACCAAACATTATATTATTCTGTAGCCTAACAATAGTAATCAAAGAACTCTATTTCCAAGAAAGAAATATTAGAATTGACTTGTTTTTGTTTTTTGCCTGGCAATAATCTTTTAAAATATCATGTTTAAATTTTCTAAAGTTATGCCTAATTTATTTCTGTATAATTAAAATATATACATGTAATAATTTTGTAAAAGTTAAAGTTTTAAAAATCTGAATGAAATATAATTTATTACTAGGAAGAGTTCATAATTTGATAAAAACTAAACCCTTGTGTGAAGGAAAACAAGTAAACAAAATTTCTGATTTTATACAACAAATCTATTCATTTTAAGATGAATTAAACTAGTATAATAAAAGTACTATATATATATATATTTTTATACACATCCAGTATATACATTTATATCATATTTTCAACAAACATCTATGAAAGCATTAAGGAGGGAGAAACTCATTTTGCCTAGGAATGTAAAATTTGACAAAGAGTTTCTTTCAAATGGAGAAGAGAGAGAAGAACATTTGAAGGAGAGAGATTTGCATCTACAAAGGTACGGAATTATAAAAATATACAGTATGTCCAGGAAAGAGCAAGCGGCTAGAATGGGGGGAGATAGGGATAAAATTCTGAGATGAGGTAGGAAAATTCAGTTGACGCTACTGGGAAGTTTTCAAAGTCCCACACACTGAAACAGTGTGCGATTTATCTGTGAAGTACTCTGGAAAATGACTTGATAAAATCTACACATGAGAAATACAATTCTTCAGGCAACATAAAGAATGAAGTTATGAGTAGTAGAAGAGAAAACAAATTGAATACAGAATCACTATTTAGAAGTGTTTTTTTTAACCCCACGAAGTCTGTATTGTAAGCCTTGTTTCTCACCCAAGTAAACAAACAGTTCTCCATTTGATACTGAGATGAGATAATTTCCTTAAAATAAGATGTAAGAATTATTTGTTAACTTCTAGAGTTCTTGTCTAAGTCATTTAAATGTAACAAAAAGACAATGTTAATTTTTGTATCTCATTTCATTAAATGTCTTACTTATTTATTCAGGGAAAAAAATACAACATAATATGAAGGTAAAATTAAAAGCAATAGAAGAAAAAATAACTAAGCACCAGTCTTTGACACTAACCAAGCTCTTAGCAATGCCACTTAGGCACAATAAGTCTTATTTTCCATTATCTATAAAATGAGTATGTTAATCAAGACTTCATAAGTCCCACTTAAATTTAAGTTGAACATTTTATAGTTATTTTATTAAATCCACTATTAGAAAATTGTACATGTCAATTTAATTGGCTTGTTTATGTAAAACATTTTACTTCACCACAACAGTAGCAAATAAGTCCTTGAGACTAGGTACAAATTCCTGATCTTTTGTTTGATTTTCATCCAGCAAATGAGGCTTTTGTTTCTCGGGTTTTATCCTGGCTGTACCTGTAAGTTAACAAGTAAAAGAATCTTATGACATGTTCAAATAACTAAAACATATAATAAACATACGTACATATCACAATACAGGCAGTTTGTCTTGGAAAGGCAAGTGAGCTATTTTTGAACAAGCCAAAGTCAATCTAAGTAAAATGCATATTCTTCTAAAACAGTGCTGTCCTAGAGAATATTGTATGATAAAGAAAAATGTCCATATCTACCCCATAACTATCAGCCATATGTGTCTATTAAATACTTGAAATATAGCTCCTATGACTGAGTAAATGGATTTTTCAATTTAAAAATAGCTACATGCAGCAAGTGACTACAGTACTTGACAGCATAGCCCAAAAATATAACAGCATTTGATATTATTAAATCAACTCTTTGCTATTACTAAAAATATTTTATGTCAACAAAGTGTATTACCATTAGGAGAGTATTTGATTTCTCTGATGTTAACATGTATATTTTAGTGTTTCCAAAAGAATTCTAATAGTTATTATTTTATCATACAATTCTATGGGGTAATACATGTATTAAATAATATTAAATAAAAAAATTTGAATATGCCTCTTTCTTTAAATAATTTCTGAATTCTAGACATAAAGCATTTTTAAAGAGGAATGACAAGAGGCAAAATCTGTACTAATAAAAGTCTGGTACATATAAAAGAATACTTGGCTGCACGCAACTTTATTTGTTCAAATAATACTAGCATATGTCACTGTATGTTCACAACAGAAAGAAATGTAGACAGAAAGAATATAGTAGCCATACTCTGAAAATTGGGGACCAGGATGGAAGTAAGCAATCTACTGTCCTCTAATTTAATGAATTATATTTCTATAGTCACCTCGTATACTTTGTGGAAAGCGTGACAATGGTATTAATGTAGACCATGCAATAACTGAGATAATAACAAACTGACTCCACCAAGTCCGCAGCCAGTGTTCATTGGCATCACAGTCTTCAACGCTTTAATAAAGGAAATAAAAACTTTCAACTTTGTATATTTTATTACAAACAAAGCCATAATCAGAGAGAGAGAGAAACATTTTCTGTTAATTTGTCCCTGTTATGGCTTGTTTTGCTGGAATCGAGTGGTTGTAAGTTCTCCAATTATGTGGTTCTCGTCCTGCAGGATCCTAAAATTTTTCCTTTCAACGTCTTTTCACCTGTTCACTCAAGTGAAGAGTAATTCTTTTTCCCTCTTTAACTTTTTTCTCCAACAGAGCTATGCATTTACAAGAGTATCCCACTAAATCTCATCCTTTTTTGAAATCATCGCTGGCCCTTTAAATTCTGCACCCAGTTCTTTAGGGCAGGCCTGGCCCTTTAAGTTACACAACTAACATTTTATCTGGGCATCTGACCCTTTAAATCACATATACTTTGAAATCTTTTTCCTATAGTGCCTTCTCTGAACTCTCAGAGGTTTGTCAGTTTTGTTTATTACTCTTCCAGAAAACCAGCTGTTTGATTTTTCTACTTTTTTTAATCTCTATTTTATTTATTTCCCCTGCCCCTGATCTTTATTATTTCTTTCCTTCTGCTGACTTTTGGTTTTGTTTGTTCTTCTTTTTCTAATTCTTTTAGGTAGTAGGTTAGGTTGTTTATTTGAGATTATTCTTGTTTTTTGAGGAAGGCCTGTATTGCTATGAACTTCCCTCTTAGGACTGCTTTTGCTGCATCCTATAGATTTTGCGTGGTTGTGTTTTCATTGTTGTTTGTCTCAGAGTATTTTATAATTTCTTCTATGAGTTCATCATTGACCCACTGCCTTTTAGTACCATCCATGTTGTTTAGTCACCGAGTCATTTCTTTCTCATTTGTTTTTCTGTGGTTTATTGCTAGTTTCATTACCCTTCTAGTGATCATACCTAATCACCCTTTGATAGATTTCGCCTTCTATCTTCCCTGTGGTCTTTCTTGGTCTACCTTTGCAAACCACAAAGCTTTGCATTGAGCCGCGTGAGATGGGAATGTAAAGGATCCTCTGCTGCAATTTCTTGGTTTTTCCCTTTTTACTCACAGTTGTTTTGTAGTTTCAACATTCTTTGTCTTCAATAATGCTAAGGCCATGATTTTACAGGGGATTTTCACAGTTGTGAAGTTATTTTGTTTCATTTAGGAAGGACATTTAGGAAAGCTGATTACTACACAGCTGCCATTATCTTCAGGTCCACACACATTTAAGACCTTGTCTAACCAGCCATCATGGGAAAATGTCCACATCCACAGGAACCACAGTTTTGGAGGTGCTCTACTGCCAACAGAGAACTACTGCCAACAGAATCTGATAAGCAGCTTGCATATAGGTCTCATTTTTCATAGAATATGGATAATATTCTCAGCTTTATTCACTGATGGGACAACTTTTTATCCATTGCTACATTATTCAGGGATCCACATTCCAACTTGCAATGACACAAGGTTACAATCTTGATTTTAATTATCCATTAGGCACATATATGTGAATATGCTATGCCCAGGGAGATTCAATTCCAGACTATCAATCACTAAGGCTATGTGTTTCCTTATTGATTATAATATTCAGAAAATGTCCTTTTTTCCCCTCTCTTTTAAAGCATTTGTAAAATTACAATTTTTTTCATCTTTTAGAAATTTTTTTTTCTTTTGAACTCAGCTAAGTATTCCAACTATAAGCATGCATGAGTTCTGATTATTAGTATGCAATTATTCCCAGTTGGACACATAAATTCAAGATTTACAAATCAAAATGTTTTAATTATAACTGAAATTACCAAATCTATCTAGAAGAATAATTTTTCAAAAATAGCGCCTGGTTTTTGATGAATAAGTGGAGACTATTCCAAACACACAGCAAATAATACAATAAAGCTTTAATTATTGAAACCTTATATTTCTGGCATAGGAGTAGAAAAATGTTATCAAGGAACAGATTAGAGATACAGAGACAAGAAGAAAACCTATGAAAAAAGGAAATTTTAATTTATAATAAAGACAATGTTGAGTATCTGTACAAATGAAATTAATTTTAAAAAATCATGGAATGATCCACAAACATCATCAGTACAATTAAATATCTCTTTCAGGAAAAAACAGAAATGTGTCCCATGCCTCATATTATATATAAAAGTAAACTAAAATTGGATGTTAAATTTAAATATACAACCAAATTCAGAAAAAGACAATACAAGTAAAGAAAATTACAGGCCAATATCCCTGATTAACATAGATGCAAAAATTCTCAACAAAATATTAGCAAACTGAATTCAACAGTACATTAAAATGATCATATACGATGATCAAGTGGGATTTATTCCAAGAGTGCAAGGATGGTTCAACATCTGCAAATCAATCATTGTGATATACCACATTAACAAAATGAATAAAAAGCATATGATCATGTCAACTGATGCAGGAAAAGCATTTAACAAAATTCAGCAAACACTCATGATTAAAACTTTCAACAGACTACGTATAGAGGGAACATAAAAAGGCTATATATGACAAACCCACAGCTAACATCAGACTCAACAGTGAAAAGCTGAAAATTTTTCTTCCAAAATCAAGAATAAGACAAGTATGCCTAACATCCTTACCTTTATTCAACAAAACACTGGAAGTACTAGCCAGAGCAATTTGGCAAAAAAAAGGAATAAAAGGCATCCAAATAAGAAAGGAATAAGTAAAACTGTCTCTGTTTGAAGATGACATGGTAGTATATACAGAAAACCCTAACTACTCCACCAAAAAAACTATATAGGCACCAAGCCATGATACCATTGTATCAAGCCAGTCATTTCTGGATAATGGGGCACAGAGTACCACCAGTGAATTCTGTAATTATCATGCTGACACACTTCCTTTGTCTTATCATATGGTCTCTAGTCAAAGACAATACTGTATGAGATACCACAGGGATGAATATGGCACCTAAGTCTTTGAAAAGTGATGCTAGCATAAACATGGTAGGCAGATGTTATGAACTGAATATGTTTGTCTCCTGCAAATTCATATGTTAAGATCCTGCCCTCTAATGTGATGGTATTAGCAAGTGGGGCCTTTGGGAGATGATTAGGTCATAAGGATAGTCTGCATGAATGTGATTAATGACCCAGAGAAACTTCTTGCCCCTTTAGGCACATGGGAACACAGGGAGAAGATGGCTATGTCTATGAACCAGGAAGCAGAATCTCCCAAGACACTGAATTTGCCAGCACCTTGCTCTTGAACTTCTCAGCATACAGAACTACAAGAAATAAATTTCTGTTTTTGTATAGCTGTCCAAATGGACTAAGATAGTACAGAAGAAAAATTCTTGCCTAGGATATGTATCTTTTCGTATAAAGACAAATTAATAAACTGGATGGTAGCTTGTCTCCCAATGAATGTGCTATACCACGGACTCAGGGTTGACCTCTACTATTGATGAATTACATACTCAGCAATAGTAATACTCATATCCTAGTAAATACTTTTGTTGACAGACTTTCCTACTGTGAAGAAGTCCACGTTACTACATTCATGTCACCAAGGCCACTTTTTACATGAGCTTACTGAGGAAGAATTGGGATGGTTAGAAAGGAGAGAGGCTGACCTGACATTAACAGGATGGGTCATTTTGTCCAACTGATTAAACAGCTTCTTCCAAAGTACACACCTTTTACATGTGCCCATTCTAAGAGGTTCACTCACATTTTCTTTTGATTTCCTATTTTCTAATCTTATTCTAAGCTCCTGGCTACCCAACCATAAATTAGTATAAATTTATACCTCAGGCCATCTCTCCTTCTATGCTAAGTGGTCAACCAGCCTGAAGTTCTACTCACTAGAAAGATTTCCTGTATCCAAGGCCACTGGTGAGTGGAGCTATTAATATAGTGGCCATCTCCTTTCTCATCTCAATAAGAAAACTTAATATTAATATGATTAAATGTGTTCCTTTTCCCTGAGAATATTCTCCAATATTGTTTAAAGAAGCCAAATGACCCAGAAGTCTTACAATAACTTCTGTCCCTCAAATTGATTAAATGCTATGAATACTTAATTTTCCAGTCTGGCCCTCCCCTGGACTTAATCCCATCTGCAACTTGTGATCATTTTACTAACTTACTCCCAGGAAGGAGGTTATCTGAGCATACAAATACACAACCTAGTTCTTGAATCCTAAAGCTACTTCTGATACTATTTTTAGTATGAGTTGGGATACTGATAGGAAACATAATACATTCATATTAGATAATTTAAAGAGATAATGACAAGAAAACTATTTCCAGTGATGTGGGCAGGGTTTAGGGAAATAACAAGGTACAGCACAAAATTCTGGGGCTAGCTACAATAACAAGCTGTTACCACAGGCCTGAATGTCAACTAAAACAATGCTTAATAAATGGTAATGGAAGCCTGAAAGCAACCATGATCTTCAGAATAGGGATACAGCCAATCTGGGTACACCTCTCGCAGAAAAGGAACTAGGAGGATAAATACCCTAGCCTTAGTATGCTCCTGCCCTCTCATCTGCCAGTGCTTCTCACTGGCCAAATCCAACTGAAATCCAGAGTTAAAGAGATTATGCTGAGGCTCTCAATATAGCCCCCTGGGGAAGAGAAGAGAATAGAAGGTTTTAGAAAGACAGAAAAGAATTTAGAGAGTCAAACTAAATATATCCAACATACAGCTTATTCCCTGACACCTTCTCTGCCCCTCTTTATTATATTTGTCTGATAGCTACCAACACTTCACTCTGGCCAGGTAAGAGCCCAGATGAGCTGGTAGGGAAGCTAGCAGGAGAGTGTCCATACAGTATCCATAGCAATAAATAATTAAGGAATTAGTTGGCAGCTTAATAAATAAGAGGAGATAGCTAGCTTCTGTATCTCAGTTTCAATTAGTTCTCCATTTATATAAAACCAGAGTTTCAGAAATGGAGAGTGGATCTCCCTATTTTCTTGTAGTGGTAGATTATACCTCCTTCATTAACTCCATCATCTTAATGAGACAACTGGAAAAGGCAAGAAGTCACTTACAGTACCACTTCAGTAAATAATTAAACATAACTTTAAAATACATATTTATGTAGGATAAAGAATGAAATAAAGATTAGAAAAGAATAAAATATAGAATAGAAAAACCACAGGGAAAATCAATAAAACTAAAGAGTTTTTTTTTAAGAGTTTTTTTTTAAATCAACAAAATTGACAAACCCTTAGCTAGAATAAGAAAAAAAAAGAGAAGACTCAAATAACAAAAATCAGAAATGAAAGAGAAGATATTACAACTGATGCCACAGAAATAAAAAGAATCACAAGAGACTACTATGAACAATTTTATGCCAACAAATTAGATAAGTAGAAGTGGATAAATATCTAGAAACATATAAGCTATGAAGACTGAATCATGAAAGAATAAAATGAGCAGACATATAACCAGTAAGGAAATTAAATCAGCACTTAAAAAACCTTTCAACAAAGTGGTTTGGTGCAATCGTCATAGAAGACAGTATGGAGATTCCATAAAAAAAACTGAAAATAGACTTACTCTATGATCCAGTAATCCCACTCCTGGGATTCAGAGGAAGCTCTAATTTGAAAAGATACATGCACCCCAATGCTTACAGTAGCACTATTTACAAGAGCCAAGATGTGGAAACAACCTAACAGTCCATCAACAGATGATTGGATAAAGAAATTATAATGTGTGTGTGTGTGTGTATGTGTGTAATAATATGTATTATATAATTTATATAATACTAATAATGTTTATATATATATATATATATATAAAATATATATACACACACAAACACACATACTACTCAGTCATAAAGAAGAATAAAATAACACCATTTGCAGCAACATGGATGGACCTGGAGATTGTCACATTAAGTGAATTAAGCCAGAAAGAGAAAGAAAAATACCATATATTATTCATATGTGGAATCTAAAAAAAAGTGACACAATGAACTTTTTACAAAACAGGAACAGACTCACAGGCGTAGAAAACAAACTTAGGGTTATCAGTGGGAAAAGAGGAGGGTGGAAGAATAAACTGGGAGCTTGGGATTTGCAGATACTACTATACATAAAAAAGATAAACAACAAAGTTCTACTGTACGGCACAGGGAACTATGTTCAATATCTTGTAATAGTCTATAATGAAAAAGAATATGAAATGTAATATATGTGTGTGTGTGTGTGTGTGTGTGTGTGTGTGTGTAAAACTGAATCACTATGCTGTACACCAGAAATTAACTCAATATTGTAAACAGACTTTTGTAAACTATGTTTTGTTTCAATAAGAACAAACAAAAAACCCAAAACTCAAAAAACCTCACTACAAAGAAAATCCCAGGCCCAGATGGCTTCAGTGGAGAATACAACCAAACTCTTTAAGAAGAATTAATACCAATCCTTCTCAAACTTTTCCAAAAAAATTAAGAGGAGGGAATACTTCCAAACTCATTCCATGAGGTCAGCATTACCCTAAAAACAAAAAATCAGACAAAGATACTACAAGAAAAGAAAACCATACACTAAAATCATTGGGATGTAAAAATCATCAACAAAATACTAGGAAACCAAATTCAACAACATATTAAGAGAATCATATCATGACCAAGATAGATATATTCTGGAATACAACAATAATGGTTCAATATAGGAAAATCAATTATTGTGATATACCACATTAACATAATGAAGGGCAAAACCACAAGGTTATCTCAATTGATGCAGAAAAAGCATTCAATGAAGTTTAACAACGTTTCATTATAAAAACACTCAACAAACTAAAAATAGAAGGAAACTACCCCAACATAATAAAAAGCCATATATGAGAAGTCCGCTGGTAATACTGCACTCCTGTAAGATCTGGAACATGGCAAGGATGCCTACCTATTCTTAACACTTCTATTCAACATAGTACTGGAAATTCTAGTCAGAACAAACAGGCAAGAAAAAGAAATAAAAGGCATCCATATTGGAAAGAAAGAGGTAAACTTACTTCTGTTTGCAGATGACATGATCTTATACTTAGAAAATGCTAAAGACTCCAAAAAAAAAATCCGTTAGAACTAATAATTCAGCGAAGTGGCAGGATACAAAATCAACACAAAAATCAAATGTGTTTCTATACACACTGAACAGCATCCAAGCTGGAAGACTTATTTAAACAGTGAAAACTCCAGAACATTGCTAATAGAATTAAAGAAGCTACAAAGTAATGGAAAGATATCCATGCTCATGGATTTGAAGACTTTCTATTATTAAATTCCCTTAATGCCCAAAGCAATCTACAGATTCAATGTAATCCCTATCAAAGTCTCAGCAGAATTTTTTTGCAGAAATTTTAAAAATCCTAAAATTTCATATGGAATCTGACTAGACTCCAAATAGCCAAAATAATCCTGAGAAAGAAAAAAAAAGCCAGAAGCTTCACACCTCCTGATTTCAAAATATAGCACAAAGCTATAGTACTCGAAACAGTATGGTACTGATTAGTATAAAGACAGCAACATAGACCAATAGAAGACAAGAAAGAGTCCAGAAACAAACTCTCATGAGTCCAGAAACAAACTCTCATAAATACGGACAAATGCTTTTTCAGAAGGATGGTAAGAATACAAAATGGATCCAGTACCTCTGTTTAAAAAAATAAATAAACAGATAAATCTAATTACCTACTCCCATTAAAGGGGGGAGGGTATAGCTCAGTGGTAGAGTGCATGCCTAGCATGCACGAGGTCCTGGGTTCAACTCCCAGTACCTCTGTTTAAAAAAATAAATAAACAAATAAATCTAATTACAAAATGGAGAAAGGATAGTCTCTTCAATAAATGGTGCTGAAAAATAGTCAAACTCTTCAATATAGGAAGCAGAACAGTGGTTGCCAAGGGCTGAGGAAGGGCAAAATGGGGAGTTGTTGTACAATGGATACAGAATTTCAGTTCTGCAAGATGAAAAAATTCTAAAGATCTGTTGCATAACAATATGCATATAGTTAATACTACCTGTATTACACACTTAAAAATGGTTAGGATGGTACATTTTTTACTATTTTTTATCACAATTTTTTAAAAAGCTATATATAGAATTAGTAGTAAGGTTGTCATTAGAAGTAGTTTTTGAAGTTACATTTCAACCAGCAAAGATAAAAATGCATATTTAGATGTATTTATATGTACATATATATGCATATCCATCACATTTACATATATTTCTCTTTAAAATGTCTGTTACAATATATGTATTCACAAGCTACACTATCTAGCCAATAAATATATAGAGTGTAAATCAAAAAAGGCAAAAACAGCTTACCTTTCCTCAAAAGAACTATTCTCAGAGGTCTTAATTAAGAGTGCTCCTATCGCACGACCCAAAGCATATCCGAGGATTCCTGAAGCTTCCACAATGCCTATAAAATGAATACTGGACATCAAACAATTACATAAGCCAGCTTTGTTGTAAAAATATAAAGACTACCTCACTGAAATGGATCACCTCTGAAAGGTTCATACCATACTCTATCAGTCTCCAAAGAAACAGAAGCAGTAGGATATCGAGAGAAAGAGAGAGAGACAGAGACAGAGAGAGACAGAGAGAGAGACAGAGATTGATTGACTGATATTTTTAGGAAGTGGCTCATGAAACTGTAGGGCTAGCAAGTCCAAATTTGTAGGGTAGGCTGGCAGGCTGGAAATCCACATAAGAATTAATGTTACAGTCCTGAGTCCATAGTTAAGTCTTACATCCACAGGGCAGGCTAGCAGAATGGGAAAACTCAGTTAGTTTCTAAATTGCACTTTGGAGACAGAATTGCTTCTTTGGGAAACCTCAGTCTGTCCTGAAAGGCTTCCATCGATTGGATGAGGCTCACCCATATAATGAAGAGTTAAACTGCTTGACTCAAAGTCTACTGAAATAAATATTAGTCACATCTAAACAATATCATAGAAACATCTACAATGGTGTTTGACCAAACAACTAGTTGCCATAACCAGCCAAGCTGACACATAAAATTAATCATTATACATATTACTCAGTGCATGTATTAGAGAAATTCAGATAACTTCATAATTCTGTATACCTTATTTAATCTACATATTAATGTGATATAAATATATTTATATTCATATAAATTCAACAGATCCTATTTCACTTTAAATCGTAGTGCCAAAGCAAAACAATACTTTAACATAAATACTGCTTTTGCATCCTTCACCTCAGTTGCCAAGGAGGCAAGAGGTGGCAATGAAGCAAGCTACTCTCTGCAGTGTACAGATGTGTGTTTTAATTGCCATTCAGTAGAACCAAAAGTAAAACAATCACATTTGTTGCCACCATGAGCCAACACTAATGAATCACTGCAAAATTTTTTTTCTAAAAGCAAACATAAATATGAATGTCATCTACTTTACTGATATGACGTTCCTTACCTATGGTGGAAAAATGACTATTTTGATGCAAAAATGCTATTTACTTTTCACTCACCTTCACAATAAGTGTGTAAAAACAACTTTAAAATTGTTTTTTCAAAAGTGATGGTTAGATAGACCTGTATAAATAGGAGATTTATCAGGACAAGAAGCTAGTGTAATATGAAGAGGCACTTATTATTCTGAGATATACCCTAGGGTTACTTACTGTATGATACTCTAGCATAAAACACTGTAAACAGAGGATACTACACTGTTGTTAATTAATTAAATAGTACATCACTCCCTTCTTTGATAGAATGAACAAGATTATGTTTTCACTAACTTTAAAAATATCAAACCTCCCCAGAATGATTAAGTAAGCTAATGTACGCAAAGAGCTTAGTGCTGTAATGATTATTTCAGCACCACACAGAATCTGGCTCTAAAGAGGCATAAAACAATGTTTTTGCCCCTTTTTGACATGATGGCAGCAACATCCCACTACATTCCCGAAGTTTAAACATACAATCTACTCAAGCAACTTAATCTGGTAACTTGAGATTTTTTTCCCCTAGAAAAATGAACTGCAGCCTATACAGTTTGATATGATGAAAATATATATAAATTATACGAGAAGGGGAAAAAACTTGCCTAGATAAATACCAGCTGAGTATGTGGCAACGCTGTTACAAATAAAGACTACTCCAAGGACACGAAGAGGTACTCCTGCTATTCCCTGCACACTCTGCCCAAGGATGAAGAAAATCATGTCTTTTGATAGGAATGATAATGAAGTTTTCTTGCAATCGTTGACAATCTTCATTTCTTTGCAAATATCTTTTGAAAAGATAATTATATTTTGTTAAATGAGTCAAAAGTTAAACACACAACAAACATACAGTATCTTTTATGATGTGCTTTACCTTTTACAAGCTATTTCCAACATTATGTTTTTATTTTAGTCAACATTTCATTTATATTGAATGTAGTAGTTCTATAATCAATCATCATGTTTTAAGACAAAAAGCAATGATAAAAGAACATTTGCCAGAATACAAGGAAAGACGCACATACTATAAACCAAATACAAATGTGTATGCATGATTATACGCTTATCACACACTTATGTGTACACAGGTATACATACACATACACACACACATATTCCTCTTAAATTTGGCATCTGGTACCCCTGAGTTTTGACCCTGGGGTAAAAGTATTTCCAATGTTTTAATATCTGAATTATTAAAGATTACCTTCTGAGTTTAATTCTAGATCCATTTCTTCAGCAATTTTCACATTAACTTTCTGTTACCAGTTTCCCATTTTAGACCCACTGACTTCTAGAATATAAGTTCATAAGGACAAGCCATTATACAATAAAAACTTCTCTCTACTTGTCATATGGTTATATACTAGATTTTAAATTCCTTTAGGTGACAGTCTATTTCACAGCTTTTTAAAAAAAATTCACATGGCTGTAGAACAATAGTAAATAAATGTTTGTTGGAATTGTATTTGTTATCAGATTGATAGATCCAGGCAATGCTATTAGATCATTCTGACTGTATCTATTTTGATTGGAATTTAACAAATGCTCTTAAAATATTATTGTGGAAAACTGGTAAAGGTATAGATTGCAAAATAGGACACCAATGGAAATTTTCAGCTGACTCTGTATCCATATGGAACGATACTTGATTCCATATCAAATAGGAAGAAGTCTCCAGAATTGTGATTCAAAACATTGATGATTCAGTTTTACATAAACATATTAACTTGGGGTGATAGCAATATCAATGTGACATTTCCAACACCCTATCCTCTTAGTTCCTTGAACTTCTCTCCTTCCATGTACTTGTACTCCACTCACCTAAGCTACTGACTTAAACTTTCAGAAATAGTAACTACAAACCTTCCTTAATTGCAATTTCAAGCTGCCTACACTCAAACTATCTTTATCTTTTGGTTCACTCCGCCTAATAACCCAATTCGAACAATCCTTAAAACCCACCAAGACCTATAATCCATTGATCATGCTACTTTTCACTATACCAATGTTCCCTTCATCTCCTTTCTTCTCTCACTGTTATCTTAACACCTGTAAACCCCTGCTCTTTTTCATATCACTTCAACCATGGATATGCTGGGTGTTCAAATATATGTAAAGATCCAGAAACTAAAGATCAGAGAGTGACAGAACTGTTTTCATAAACTAGTGGAGAAAATTAGTTTTAACTTCTCAAGGATTTGGTAGAATATGATTTCTACATGTTAGCTGAGGCACAGGAGCTGAGTACAAAAAACTGTGATGGGGTAGAGGGGACAGAAAAAGGGAGTGGGAGGTGGTGGTAAATAGGCTGTTCCATAGAGGGTCAAACAAGTCACATGGGGAGACAAGGCTAGCAGGTAACCAGGAACATAGACAGAGAACAGAATAGGAAAGATAGCAGAAAAGAGTAAGAGAAGGATCTCAAAAAAAAAAAAAAAAAGGGATACAGGAAGAAAATACAGAAATTAAAAAAAAAACTTACATACATAAACTGAGTATGGACACAAAGTAGAAATTTAGTTATGTAAGAACTAAACTTTTAAACAAAATAAGTAAAATAGCTGCATAGTTAGGTGTATGAAATGAGCACTTCTACTTGCAAAAACTATTTACTTCATTTCTAACCTTCTATTCCCAAGTAGAGGGTTCCCAGTAATTGAATAGGTGTTGTCAAATGAATTGCAGATTTCTAATCACAAGCAGAAAATAAAATATATAGAATCTAGATAATATAAAGAAGACACAAAGAAAGGAGTACTCCCATTACTCATCAAGCAGCATTTTTAATGACTCAAGCGGTGATTCTAACTTTTCACCCTTTCTGGCTGGAACAAGGTTAAGGGAAGAATAGGAGTAAAGTATTCCCCATTCCTATCCTTCCATAAGCCATCTTCTAATTCAATTAGCAGTCCATTCTATAAATATAATAAACACATCACAAATATGTTTTACAAATTAATAAATATACTTATTCTACATATTTATAGTTTATAAATATATTATGAATATAAGTAAATATTAATTACTTCATAAGTCTGTATGATATGTATCATATGTTATATGTTTATCATATGAAATATGTAATACATAGTTTAGTTATATTACATAAATTATTGAACTTAATGTGAAATATTTTAATTTTTATTGCAAATACAAAGCATAAACACACATCACAAACACACTTTTAAACATCATAAGCATGCTTCCACACATACACACACACATGAGACATCCTCATTCTTTTTCCATCATGTCTTGCTAAAGCCCAGTTTAAAGTTTTCAAAATAAGTAAATGCATTCCCATATTTTTATAAAGCTATATACAAGAAAGTACTCATCACAAAAGTGTCAGAAATAGTGCTATGAAACTTCAAATAGCCTTTTACCTACTGGGAATAGTAAAAAATTGTGGAATAAATTGAAAAAAAATGAAGAAAGCAAAGAAACCACCAATCTTTTTAGATTAAAAGTCCTATGTCAAAGTGCAGCACCCATTTTGAAATGACAGAAGTAGTTAGAAAAATTGTGACTGTTTTGTATGTGTGTAAGTTTGTTTATGTTTGTCTTTTGTATTTGTGTATATGTGTGTTCAGGTCATATAAAGGGATCAATTAAATTATCTTGTGGAAGACATAAGGAATTACCAAAGAACTCAAAATATTTATAATATATATGAAAATTGATAAAAGAAAAGCAATTTCACAAAATAACTATCCCAAAATATTCTTTATTCTTCCTAGGCCCATCTCTCAGATGAATAGGTAGATGATCACAGTAAGATGAGAGAATGGCATGTGTGCTATTAGGGAGCTACCATTAATCAGCTTAATAAATTTGATCATATAAATAGATATAGATGAATGAGTATACAGACAGATAAGTATCAGTTTATTTTAAGTTTCTAGAGCCAGTGGTTTAAACGAATAATGATTTGATGTATCAATAGTAGCTTTTAAAATCTTACCTTCAGTTACTACATTCATTTGATAATTTCTACCACTAAGGTATGGAAAAGCAAATAAAAGTGATCCAAATCCTACTAAAAAGGAAGAAACTGCAATCCATCTTGGTATGTTTCCTTTCCCTCCGCAGTATGCTATAAACACAACTACCAGGCAAAATGAAATATTGTAACTCAATGACAACACAAGACTCTCAATGGTTGTCAGATGATTATCCTGAAAACTGTCGCTGCTCAGATTTACAAGACCAAACACAATACCTAAAATGTGAACAGAAAAGAAAGCAATAATATGCATAAAATTATTTTTACAAAGACAAAGTAAATCATTAAAAACAATTTACAACGATTTAAGTTTATTTTACGTTATTCTGAATGTTTGAGATCTATAAGCACATAATTCCTTTTCTAAAACACTAATAGGTCTTAATCTCTATGAAATATTTGCCACTTGAATTTTTGTAATTAATTTAAAATTATATTTATGAGTAATTTACTGAAAAATATGCTCTTTTTAATCATCTCACTGTACTGATCCTATATTTTAATGTATTATGTTTCAGTTAAAATGTACAGCCTGTTGCACAGCAAAGGAAACTACACACAAAATGAAAAGACTGGGAGAAAATATTTTCAAATGATGCAATCAACAAGGGCTTAACTTTCAAAATATACAAACGGCTCATACAACGCAATAACAAAAAACCAAACAACCCAATCAAAAAAGGGCAGAAGGCCTGAACAGACACTTCTCCAAGGAAGACATACAGATGGCCAATAGGCACAAGAAAAAATGCGCAATATCGCTAATTATTAGAGAAATGCAAATCAAAACTACAATGAGGTATAACCTTACACTAGTCAGAATGGCCATCATTAAAAAGTCCACAAACGAAAAATGCTAGAGAGGGTGTGGAGAAAATGGAACCCTTCTATGTTGTTGGTAGGAATGTAATTTGGTACAGCCCCCCCTGGAAAATAGTTTGGAGATTACTTAAAAAACTAAAAATAGACTTACCATAATCCAGTAATCCCACTCCTGGGCATATATCCGGAGAAAACTCCAATTTGAAAACATACATGCACCCCAATGCTCACAGCAGCACTATTTACAACAGCCAAGACATGGAAGCAACCTAAACGTTAATTGACGGATGACTGGATAAAGAATATGTGGGGTGTGTATATACATACTACTCAGCCATTAAAAATAATGAAGTAATGCCATTTGCAGCAACAAGGATGGACCTAGAGATGATCATACTAAGTGAAGTAAGTCAGACAGAGAAAGATAAATATCAAAATATCACATGATATCACATGTGGAATCTAAAAAAAATGAAACAAATGACCTTATTTACAAAACAGAAATGGACTCACAGATATAGAAAACAAACTTATGCTTACCAAAGAAGAAGGTCGGGGGAGGGATAAAGAGGAATAAATTAGGAGTTTGGGATTAGCAGATACAAACTACTACATATAAAATAGATAAACAAGGTCCTAACATATAGCACAGGGAACTATATTCAATATATTATAATAACTTATAATGAAAAAGAGTATGTGTGTATATATGTATGACCGAATCACTATGCTGTACATCAGAAACTAACACAACAGTGTAAATCAACTCTACTTCAATAAAAAAGATTAAATAAGAATCTAACCTTATCTCCCATCTAGAATAGGAAGTAAAACATCGAAATAGTTGAAGCCCAACATGTACTTCTCAAATGCATTCTTCTCTCTCACTCCATAACCCATACCCTACATCTGAAGTTTACAATTTCTAAACCGTTTTAACACTTTTTTTTGACAATGTATTCATCCTTAAACAATGTAGAGTATCATTTGTCATATGTCTATCTCTGGGGTTAGGGTATTAATTCCCCTTCTAATTCAGGAATATTATATAACCAAATTTGTACAGTTATCTTCCACAGCACTATAAAATAGTAAGGGAAAGAGAAAAAATTAAAAACTGAAATACACACACGCACAAAATGTATATATGTTTGTGTGTGTGTACACATAAAACAAACAAGAAAAATGTCAGGTGCTAGTTATTCTTCTAAGTGGTTATGAGACCACAGTCAATATTTATAACTTCCTTATTCCATTATTCACCCTCTCTTCTTCCCCTTTATCTCAGATAACATACATAGGTTGCAATCATAAAGCATATGCCTCCACCCTATAGAACAGTGCCCAAACTTCTGATTGTTGTCTCCTAGCTGAAGCCTCATCTGAGTCTTCAATAAGACATTATAATTACCAGTAAGGCCAAGAGTTTCTGGTTACTGAGCTATGTAGTAAGACCAGTGAATTCCATGAATACGAACTTTCTGATGTACTTCTTTTGCTGTAAAATGAGTTCCTTCATTAAAAGCAAAATGATCAGGATGGTGTATAAGGGATTTATTAAGTCCAATTACAGTTGTTCTGGCAGAACCATGGTGATAAAAGAACCTAGATCTAAAATAAATATCTATTTCAGTGAGAAGAGATTATCTCCCACTCTATAATAGAAGTAGATAACATAATCAACCTGCCTCCAGGTAGCTGGTTGGTTTCATTAGAGGATGGAGTTATTTCCTGGATTGTATTGGAATTTTCCCACTGGCCATTCAGGTACTCAGAAATGCAATAGCCAGATCAGTGCTGGTGAAGATAAATCCTTGCATTCAGTTCTCCTACAACTTCATCCTTGATGCAATTGTCACTATAAATACAAGCCCATTGAACAAGACAAACAATGGCAAAGGAAAGAGGCTGATTAATAATCACAAGATGATCTAACCAAGGAGGTGAAAGACTTATACATGGAAAACTATAAATCATTGATGAAGGAAATTAAAGAAGACTTTAAAAAAATGGAAAGAGATCCTGTGCTCCTGGATTGGAAGAATCAGTACTGTTAAAATGGTCATACTGCACAAGGCAATCTACAGATTTAATGCAATCTCTATCAAATTATCCAGGACATATTTCACAGAACTAGAACAAATCATAATAAAATTTATATGGAACCACAAAAGACCTAGAATTGCCAAAACATTACTGAAGAAAAAGAAAGAGGCTGGAGGAATAACTCTCCCAGACTTCAGACAATACTACAGAGCTACAGTAGTAATCAAGACAGCATGGTATTGGTACAAAAACAGACGTATGGACCGATGGAATAGAATAGAGAGTCCAGAAATGAACCCACAAACTTTTGGTCAACTAATCTTCGACAAAAGAGGCAAGAATATACAATGCAATAAAGACAGTCTCTTCAGCAAATGGTGTTGGGAAAACTGGACAGCAGCATGTAAATCAATGAAGTTAGAACACTCCCTTACACCATACACAAAAATAAACTCAAGATGGATCAAAGACTTAAACATAAGACAAGATACAATAACATCCCAGAAGAAAATATAGGCAAAACATTATGTCACATACATCTCAAAAATGTTCTCCTAGGGCAGTCTACCCACACAATAGAAATAAAAGCAAGAATAAACAAATGGGACCTAATTAAACTTACAAGCTTCTGCACAGCAAAGGAAACCATAAGTAAAACAAAACGATAACCTACAGAATGGGAGAAAACTTTTGCAAATGATGAAACTGACAAAAGCTTGATCTCCAGAATGTATAAGCAGCTCATATGAATTAATAAGAAAAAAACAAAGAACCCAATCCAAAAGTGGGCAGAAGACCTAAACAAGCAATTCTCCAAGGAAGACATACAAATGATCAATAGGTACATGAAACAATGCTCAATATCACTAATTATCAGAGAAATGCAAATCAAAACTACGACACCAGTTAGAATGGCTATCATTCAAAAGTCCACAAATAACAAATGCTGGAGAGGCTGTGGAGAAAAGGGAACCCTCCTACACTGCTGGTGGGAATGCAGGTTGGTGCAGCCACTGTGGAAAACAGTGTGGAGATTCCTGAAAAGACTAGGAACAGACTTATCATATGACCCAGGAATCCCACTCCTGGGCATATATCCAGAAGGAACTCTACTTCAAAAAGACACCTGCACCCCAATGTTCACAGGAGCATTATTTACAATAGCCAAGACATGGAAACAGCCTAAATGTCCATCAACAGATGACTGGATAAAGAAGATATAGTACATTTATACAGTGGAATACTATACGGCCATAAAAATGACAACATAACACCATTTGCAGCAACATAAATGTCCCCGGAGATTGTCATTCTAACTGAAGTAAGCCAGAAAGAGAAAGAAAAATACCATATGAGATTGCTCATATGTGGAATCTAAAAAAAAAAAACAAATACAAAACAGAAACAGACTCATAGACATAGAATACAAACTTGTGGTTGCCAAGGGAGCAGGGGGTGGG